ACTGTACAGTAATTGAATTTCAAGAGACACACATTACACAAAAAACAAATCAAAACACTGTAGCATTGAAGTATAAGTGCCGTGAAGGCCACAACGAAGGAGAATATTGACCCCTTAACAGAAAGGACATCACCAAGGCAACTGAACCAAAGCCCACTTATAAGTACCAGTTCATACAACACCAACCAACAGGGTGGAACAAACACAAGAAAGCAAATACAGCAAAAGTACATGTCAACGCTTTTGCAAAGCTCCCAAAGGCCTCCCACATCCCATTAAAGAAACCACTGACTGCATTAATTTTACTTGGTAACAGTCTCACACCCTAGCCACAAGATGTTGATCTTTGAAATCTGAATCTGTAAAATTAATAATTCTAAAGCACTATTAAACCCTTTAATACCCATGAGTGACCAAGACAGAATTTCTCCTTTACAATATCAATACATCATCCAGCAGACAAGTGATGAGAATAAAGAAAAATATCAATTAGGGGATTATTAGTTGATCAGATAGCAAACTCTCTTAACTATCATGATGAGTATTGTCTGGCAAACAGTAAGAAGAATTGCTAATGAGATCCTACAAGTGAAAGGGTTAAAGGATGAAAACAATGCACACACCTCATACAACTTGTTCACATCAAGGCCTGTGGTGATGGCAAGCACATCGGCGGCTGATGTGTCAGCACTATTTACAGCTAGCTCGAGAAACAATTTCTCAGGTGACATTTTTGGCCTGCATTTAAAAACACCAGATGTTGTGACCAGTATCGCACCATCCACAGTGTTTGACATCCCAGAGGAACAGTCTGACGCATGTGAATGATCAAGATCATCAACAACAATGGCACTCTCCACCTGTTCTGAGTGGTGAAACATGGCCACCATTTTTTCACCAGGTGGTAACACAAAGGTTTGGATGATGCTTGACTCTGTCTTCTGTAGAAAAATTTCAAATTAAAATAAGTATCATCTCCTGATTATCTTAGCTTGGGAAAATACCAGCAGTTTGAACAACCCACTATGTTAAACAATATTTTGCTCTGACTTGTAGCATTTCAGTAACATGCAGCTTTCAACAAAGTTTAACTTACTATGGATATCATATAATAATTTATAAAGCCTGAAAAAAAAAAATTCAGGCCTGCTTAAGCAGTTAAAAAAAGTACAAATAATTATGGTCTGTACAGGCCTGAATTTTTTTTTTTTTTCAGGCTTTATAATTTCACAACAGCTTGAGAAGTGTTTATTACTGCAAAAGTCACTCTCATTTTCATTATTTTAGTTGTTATTGAAGAGAAAGCCTGTATCAATAAATTGAAATAATCCAAAGTTTAGTTCTAATGCAGAAATAATTCTTCATGAGTTTTTCTTAATCAATTACTAGGTAATTTATATATTAAGTAATTGCAAAATTCTGTATAATACACAAAATCGACATTGCCAAGGATATCAATGATCGTGATCTATCAAAAGTCAGACATCACTGTTCTGTACCTGATGGGGTTTTGGTACTGAAAGGGAGGTTTCCGCAAGCTGACTGGACTGGATGTTAAACAAAGTCTACAAACATACAAACAATACAGTATCTTATATGACAAATACTCTGTCACCTTAGCTTGCAATAAGGTTCATTAACTGATTAGTTTACATGGTCAAAGTCTTCCCTTTTTTAAAAACAAAAAGTTGTCAAAATGAAAAGTTCAAATCAGTAGAGCAAACATTTTACCTGATGAAATTTAAAGATTTCCATATCACGTAAAGTCATTAAAAAAAGGTCCTAAAGGTAGTTTAAAGTTTTACCCATGAATTACACCTATAAAAGGAGAAAACTCTTAGACTGCTAGTTTTAGACACTATAGTGTCCTATTTTGGACACTAGTGTCTGATTTAGACACTGATGTCCAATTTTAGACTCTAATGTCCAATTTTGAAGTCCAACGTCAAATTTTAGACACAGTCGCCCAAATTTAGATGCTAGTGTCCAATTTGAACACTATTGTCTCGCCTTTGACACAAGTGTCCACTTATAGACAATACTGCCCAATTTTAGATGTATAGTCAGTGTTTAAAATACAATTTATAAGTGTCTGATTTTAGACAGCCATGTCTAAACAAATTTTAGACATCAGTATCTGATGTTAAACACTAAATACTTCTAAAATGCAGTTTACACACTAGTGTCCTTTTAGAAGATGGAGGGGGGGGGGGAAGGTTACAAACAAAGTGTGATGGGAAAGTGTGAGAATCAGATATTAAGTGAAGTTAATATCCTCATTCACTCTTTCAGCAAGTTGATGAGCCAGTTTAAATGAATGCACTATCATTAAGTATGCATCTTAATTACCTCGTCTGACTGTTCTTGGTGAGTAATGGTAAATATAACTCTATCAGTTAATAAAACATTGGATGTTCCACAAGGAAGTTGATACACAAACATTGGCAGGTTCTCTACATCAGAGTCATATACCTAGTATGTAAAAACAAAAACCATCCTGTAACTATAACAAGCGGTAATTTTAGATTAATGTCTGTAAGAGTCCCCTAATTTCCACAACCAGAACTTATCCCAGCTTCTACAGAACAAGACGAGTTTCCACCTTCTCTAGAATGGGATTCTAATCCATCACAACCCTTGCTCCCCGCCCCCCCTAAGTTATTCCTTGGAGCAGGTTTCCTTTGACTGCTAAGGTTGATTAGTATCTGGAGAGAACTTATGGGTAAATTTTGGAACCAGTGGTCTCAAATCTATAATAGCTATATTCCTGGCTGTGCTCTAAGGAAAATTGAATGGAACCTGGCCAGTGCTCTGAAACTGTGAAATCCAGGGTGCCCGGCATATGCTTTGTATGGAAAAACCAAAATTCCTGAGTTGCCCAAAAGCAATTATAACATAACCAAAGTAAAGCGCGCACTCTCTAANACTGTGGGCCACCGGGTGCTGCTAGATCACATCCTTGATATTATTTCAACTATCAAGACTATCAATAGTCAATGCATGTGTGTTTGATTGCCCAAAAGGAACTATAAGCACACTAACTGTAACAGTTAATAAGTATTTCACTTATTTGCCAATAAATTGAAATTAGATCTGTAAAGCATTTACCTCCAGAATGTCTTTCTTTTTGTTCTCAGCTCCAATAAACAGCTGATTTCTAGCATACTGCACTGAGAACTGAATAGCACCAGCCGAGGACTGTGAAATCAAAAAGTAAAACTTTCTAGTTCTTAGCTCTTATATAATGACTCAAAAATTATGAGAAAAATCAAGAATCCTGTAGAAGCATGAATTTTTTTGAGGCTTCTTCTCTGCAATTGCTAAAATTGTAGTCCACTTATGAAGACCAATTCTTTGCTTGATTTTCATCTGTGGGTCACATGAAATTTATTTCATTACGAGTTGTTATTGAAATTCCACTATGGAAAAGAAGAACCCACTAAAATTTCCCTCAAACCAACATATGTGGCTTCATAGCTCAGCTGATAGTAGTGCCCAACTACATGTAGTATCTTGGAAGCACATTAATTTTTTTGTGGATGTCATAGCAAAGCCCAGCACTTTCTCCTTAGTCAGTTTTTGTATAACTAAGAGTTTGGTCTGCTGTGGGCCTTGAACCATCAACCTCCTGTATGGCAGTCCCCTGCTTAGAACCATGAGCTCACAGATTCACCCTTGAAAGACTAAAAAACGAATAATATTGTTAGTAATCATTCATTTCTTACTTACACTGACTGGCATAGGTTGTATTTTGTCCTGCAGATCTCCTGTTCCACTTAACACACTCTCTATGGGAATGGTCATCTTGTTTAGTGTCTCATAACCCATAGCTGTGGCCTCTGATGAAGGACTTTTTAACTGTTCAAGGCTTGTTTTTTGCATTGACTTGTACTCAAGCTGCATCTGGACTGTGACACCAGACAAAGTGTTGATCTGAAGGCATAAATATGGAGTATTGTTATAGAGCTGGAATTGTTTCCCTAATAGCATTTCATTGTGCAGCTCACTAAATTCAAAAGTCTGTTAGAATTGAACTCTTTCTCAACCTCTATTTGCCTACTAATTAAAACCTGTTTTCTCAGTACACATTGTACATTACAGAACCTCATTTTTTCTGCTTGGATTTATAATTATAGTAAACAGTTTGAGTGGAGTCCAATTCAGTGTGTATTATCATGCAAGTGATTCACAATATCAAACGAGTGTGAAGCAGAAGTCTGATTAATGAGTGGAGTCCAATTCAGTGTGTATTATCATACAAGTGATTCACAATATCAAACGAGTGTGAAGCAGAAGTCTGATTAATGAGTGGAGTCCAATTCAGTGTGTATTATCATACAAGTGATTCACAATATCAAACGAGTGTGAAGCAGAAGTCTGATTAATGAGTGGAGTCCAATTCAGTGTGTATTATCATACAAGTGATTCACAATATCAAACGAGTGTGAAGCAGAAGTCTGATTTTTCAATCACGAGTATGATTACAGACTGAATTGGACAATACGAAGTCCTGTTCATTAATCATAGCCATTACAATTTTCCAAAAAAAAAAA